AGCATATTTATAAACAGGGGCCGAGAGTTGAACAGTGACGTCCGTTCCTAACTTTTGGGCTCGAATAAGCATTAACAGCGCCTGAATTTTATAATTTTTCGTCCTAATTTGTATCAATTTTCGTAATTATGCTCTGCTTTTGAAAGCCTGGAAATCGCGCGATTGAGGTCAGCCAATTTTAGCCGTTTTATAATGGGAAAAGCTTTATTGCAAAGCGTACGATGTTTTTCCTCTTTCGAAAGCATTTGGACGGGTTTTGTTGGAGCAAACCACTCTCTAATGAAGGTCCACCACTATTTTTTTTTCGATGGTTCTGCTCCCAATTTTACTTTGCTTCAACCCTTCAGACATCTCCCGCGCATGCTGCGAGCATTCCCGTTCCGAAAACTGGAGATCCACTTTTTATAGCATCTGGTCAGTGCGATCTCATTGCAAGAACTGTGTCTGTGCTCCGATTGTTCGAAGTACTTATACAACACTTTGCGACCGAATTCGTTACGCATGGCGTATGGTACTTCTAAGCTGAAAGAAATCTTCAAACACTTTACTGAGCTTTGACTGCCTTGACAACCTTCTCTGTTTAGCCACTTTTATATCCAACGCACCATTGCTGTCACCAAGATCTCGAAAAGTTGCAAACTTGACAAAGTACGGTAGTTTTGGCGGTGATGTACGGTAGGTCAAAGGATTTTCAAGTCGGTCACTAATCCACAAAATTTTTGACCTTACTCGTCAGAAGTTTGTTAGTGGCTAATCCCTTTCCGATTTTTGTACCCTACTTTGGCGTGCTTCTTAACTCCGTAAAGCATTATATACTTCTCAAAGTTCCATTGCCTCCTCCACATCTGGGGTTGTCTCCACGCAGCACTACCATAGGTACAACAATCTTTTTGCTCTTGTTATTTGCACAATCTTGCATGTAATCATTAGACAGGTCATCAAGGCAAAATGGGACCATAACAACAACCGTAACGCCATCCCAGACATCTGCATTGTCAGTAAACAGTTAAGTAAATTTTTATCAAGATTACACCAATGTGTGTCTGGAGGACTAAAAGTCCAGGAATTTGAAAGGTTGAGGAATCTGCACTTAAATGGGATTGGTTTACGGAGTTGTAGTAAAACCAACAATACAATGTAGAAGTTATAATTCTGCATGTAGCAATTAAAATGACCTTCGCTTTAGCCTATCTGGTGAAAACCGTGAAAAGGTGAGAAGAAGGAGTGAATTAGTCGCATTTGAGTGTGTCGCGTAATTATTTCTACCTGATCATTCGAGTGCTCCTGCAGTATATCCTAGGCTTTACCGTTCTGAGACGAAAATGGTTGCGGATTCTACCAGAGAGGGTCAACATTTCACCATATATGTGGACGTTCTTTTTTTAGAGTTGTCTGTGAGTGAACGGGCAGCTTTGCAGTGGCCCCACTGGTGCTGCAGATCAAAATTGCTTCTGGTTTTCAATGTTAACCACAATTCGATATTAGTGGAGGGCGAAAACGAACCAGAAGTGATGCGGCATAATGTCCTAATTGTGAACACGAAAGAGGGAGAGTGTGCGATGGTAGCATATAAGTAAAATGTCATCGTTGACATCGCTGATTCTCTTCTAGGATTCTCAAGGCCCTATCCTTGAAGACAAGTTGAACTTAGTTTGACAAACTCCGAAATCCCCAGATAGGTGTAGTTAAGGGCCGTTAAATATTTAGTTCTCAGCTTACAGGTTTAACACCACCAGGTTTCTGCAACTTTTGCCTGCTTTAAAAATTTATAAGAAGAAAAATTGTGCAGTGACGATGCTTATAACCTGGCATCAGCAGCGCCTCGGTGACTACGCTTTCCATCCCATCTTTACGAGAGAGTCGATGTTGTAAGGAAGGCCTTCACATAGCTTATTTCGAAACAAGTAGAGCTAAAAAGCCACGAGTAGACTTTATACGTATAATTTTGAAGGCAATAACTTTTTTTTGCAATCATTTTTAATCTGTGTCAAAGCCCATAGACACACACACACATGACACTTACGTTGGGATTGGTCCACTGTCGAACCAAGGAAATAGTTTATATTCAACTGAAGAAACGAGAAGAGAGATTCCTTCGTCATCATTGTGCTACCATCCGGTAAAGTCCTTTACCATAAATTAAAGCCAGTGTAACGATGTAACTTCTTTCTTCATAGCAAGGAAGGAGGTTTGCACGCAGCGTCGTTTGTACGGGCTACAAATGGACACAAAAAGCTTATTAGGCAACGGAGTCACAAATCATGATTCTTCAAATAATTAAGAAGTATTGGTATTTTTTGGTTAGCTTCATTGCCCAAGGATGCTGAAAACACCTGCATTACTAAGCTACTGAAATTTATAGCCTGGTCAGGGCGATGTTATTCTATTTTTAAAACTTGCCGATGCATGAACACTCCTGAAACATGGAATGTATTTGCCCCAAGGGGCTCAGCTAAGTGCTTTGAAATCCCAACTGAAATGAACCTCATATTTGTTAGGCATCTAATTCTCCTCAAATCCTATAAGCAGGACGAATTTTACCACGAGCGGTACTGGTGTCATTTTTGTGATGTGGACTTCCTGACCTGAGATTAGTGTAGCAGATATGTGACATGCATTTACTGTCGGTTTATGATAACTGGTTGCGCCGATTTGCGATTGTAGGAATGGGATGTTCTTGGTTTAGGGAGAACGATTACAATTTTTAACCTTTGGATGATATAAGTATCTCCTACGAACATTCGTGACAATTTATGTCGTGTTGTAGCATCAGAGATCTTATATCTTCTGAGACTGGTAGCAAGCGCGTGAAGCAGAACCGTGGATTTTTTTTCTACACATTGAGTTGAAATCCTTCCTAAACCCTGATTCAGCTCTATGTAGGTTGAATTGGCCATAAATTTTCTATGCCACGTTGTCTTGCCTAACCCTGGTTACTACCCATTCGTTAGTGTTTGCATCACTCTTAATGACTACATTCAAAAGACAGGCAAAACGAATCAGGTGGTGCTAGTCACCTCGTCTATAAGGACCCTGATTGGCGCCTATAAACACTGTAAATAACTTTTTTTCATTTGTCTACTTATCAAATTATGCATCAACATGAATAAATTCTCATTCATTGGGGCAGAGTGAGAGGGGTGTTCCTCATCTGCGTTGCCGCCTAAACCCCGCTTCCATGCAGCAAATTCAACATTACTGACCTCTCCCACCCAATTGTTTAGCTGATTGACCTCTCAAAGCATACACAAACCCAGGTTTAGTTACCCCATGACCTTGGCTTTGAAAAGAGGCCCAAAACTTTACTTGAAGTTCCTTATCAAGCCAACGACCGTGTGAATAAAAACATCGCAACTCGATACTCCCCCTACACGTCATTTCTGATGACGCAGTAGAACCATCCAGTCACCAAATGGATTAATTATCAGAGTTCCGACGAAGTGGCAGACAAATCGCTCTCGAAGTTAAAAGTGTCGACTGAATGCTGCAGTGAATATTTCATGGTCTAGACAATCACGGATTCGTAACTGCCCACAGCGATTGCGCTTCTGAATAGAGCATAGGGTGGGTAGAAAGACCAGTCATTCTCTTGGTACGTTTCGCCAACTAAATCGTATATAGGTCGGGAAAAATAGTCTTTTAACCCATAAGACAACCGTTGGTTCGTGCACGGCAAAGTGTCGGTGAATGTAAGAGAGGTAAATGTGACACCATCCCCGGCGCTGTTGTTGAGTTAAACAGAACCGAGTAAGATGTTCATCGGTTGATGAGAGTCAGGTAGAGCAGGCCTGAGACGGTTGCAGGAAGGTGTAATTAGCAGAAATGGGCGTCTCCACTTGACTTGTCTGTTACCTGTGTTTGGCAATGCTAGACTGGGACAGTCATCTCTTCGCTCTGAAACAGTTGGCTGAGGCGGAAGGCAAAAAGCTGCCGGAATTTTTCACGAATAAGGCTTACGAGCGCATTAGTACAGTGGACCTCTACACTGCTCCACTCACTTCCGGCGTCGCCAATGCCGCCACAACCGGCACTACAACTGGCCTGCTCATCGGCGCCTTCGCCCCCACCTCACCTCACGGCTACGGCATCTCCTATGGCATCACGGTAAGTGGTAATTCCTCATCATCCTTCGCTTTCAGTCTTATTTAGGCAATATACATTTTGAGCTCGACTGACCTTTAAAAGAGTTAATGGGGTCTAAGTATTTCGACATAACCCTGGAGTGTAGAACCTGAATCGCATGCATAGGCAGTGGGGATTGTCATTTACCGAACTGAGTTAGCCTCAATTTGTTTTTGAACTCCCGGCTATTACGAGTATGTATGGCACACCATATCTTGTAGAGACATGAAGTGAGCATCCTGTGTCACGCCTTGAAGAAGTCATATCAGGCAGACTAGATATTGTCCTATGGCTCGTGTAATTCACTTACCAATCACACCTCCTGAAGCCTCGCGCAAAGGAAAAAGCCCTTTGATTGGGGAGAGGCCGATCAGGAGCATTTTTTGTGCTGTTATTTAGACGGCTTAATCCCAACTGCACAGGCATATCTCCTGGCATCTGGACCGTAGCCAGACGTCCTGCGTAATCAATGAAACGACAGCCAACCCGCCTCAAATGAATGCTACTTCTAAATTTAGGGCAGATAGCCTCGATTACCTACCTTACTGTACCACCAGGCAGTGCAGATACGCCTTGGTGGGTCATCCCCAACCTTGCATTCCCAACAGAAAATATGGTGGGAGCAGTAAGCGCTCGAATCGCCCTCGCTAGAGTGCCTACTGCTGCATTTCTACCTTGTTAGCGTTGAACGGAAAGCTGTTACTAGATCGAAATGTCTACATTAGAGGGAGATTTAATTCCTCTTCATCCTCCCAATTTCCACTCCTACTTAAATTGACCCGAACAGTCGGAGATGGTTCTAGCTAGGTAAAACAGCCAAAATATATTTACGGCGATAAAAAGGTAACCAAGTAGTTGGCATAAAGTTAACCTTGCAGAAAAAACAATTGACAGACACTAAATCGCATCCCCCGTATATAAGGCCTCCTCACAAGAATGAAAAGATTTTGAAACATTTGGAAGCAATTTATCTATTTAATTCAAAAAAAATGAGTTTAGATTTTCCCTGCTAATTTTTTTCCCAGGATGAGGGTTGCAGCGCTTGCTTTACTACATGGCGAGATTCAAGCATCTCCAAGGGATCACAATTCGTGGAGAGTTTTCGACAAAGCCTCCACCAAATCGCTGCCATCCTTCAATCTTAAAGCACCTCAATTCTCCCTTCTCTGCCTTCTTTCCAAGTACTCCCTGTTAGTCTTCTAGTAGCTTCTCTCTTCGTGAAAATAACAAGAAGGGCGTTTAACACTTTGGTTGCTTTATTCTGGGTATAAAGTCATCCTGATCAGAACTGTCTCGTCATTTTCCATGACTGTTTTTTTCAGTCAGAAGTTAAGCATTGAAATACTTTGAGTGAACACAAAATTGTGAGGCATTTTCAAAGTAGTAGCCAAATAGGAAGAAAGAGGGACACTTTTCATGATGCCTTTCCATCTTGTGCCAAGCGAAAGTAAATTAATGACCACCGTCGGAAAAAGGTGAAAAAATGAAGATGGATGAAAAAACTAGACGAGGAGTGGACCTCCTTACTGACTAATTGATTGTAGAAATGCGTTGGTTGATGGCTATCATTGCACACTGCTGGACCATCATTTAGGTGTGACGGGCAATCTTGCTTTGGGTGACGTGTTCAGATAAGGCTTATTCCAGCAGTCTTCGCCCTAGGGTATGTCAGAGACACCAATCTAGGTGTGATTAAGTGAATGGT